GTGTGTGTGTGTGTGTGTGTGTGTGTGTGTGTGTGTGTGTGTGTGTTTTGGGATAGAAAATATAGACACGTGCCAGCAGAGGAAGGGCAGACCCCTTTCTGGAAGGTTTCTCACCGGCCTAATGCTGGGAGGAGGTGACTAAGTGGACAAGGGGCTGGTCCGGCCAGTCTCACCGTCGTGGACCAAGGCAAATGGCCCAGATGTTAGCAAAACACAAGGAACGAGTTCCTGCCCGAAGCCCCTGGCCACGCCTTCCTGGGCTGCGCACAATCCCGGCCTTCCTGGAATACCGCAGTTTCTGATTCTAAAGTGACCAGATGTCCCGCTTTTGAACAATTTGTCTTGTGTCCCGCGGCGTTTTAAAAAAGTCCCGGTTTGGGGAAAGAATGCATGACAAGCTAGGGAACGGCAGGAGAACAGGAAGACGAAAGTTTTAATCAAGGAACACCCCCCACCCCGGTCAATAGTGTCACGCTTTTTTTACATTTTACCAATGTTAAAATCTGGTCACCTTATTTGCCCGGTCTCCCAGTTTGCCCCGGGCTATTTGCGCTGTGCCTGGTGGGACAGCTAGCGGGTGACCTGCGGGCCACGGCAGCGGAAGGTGCTCTGTGCAGTTCAGTTTATCTGGATGGCACCCCTTGGGGCAGCACTGTGAATGCGGAGCAGCTGGCACCCTGGACATTGGGTATTCCACACCTGCGTGTGGGGGGAGGGTAAGTGGGCGTGCTGGGAACCCTGAGAGAGAGTGGATGCTCTCTGGGCCCCGCCCTCCTACAGGCCCCGCCCCTCGGTGTTCCAATGCCCCTGTGGCTGGTGGTTCAGGTCTTCACACCTGGTGCTCTTCTGGAGGGACGGATGGCGCTGGGTTTGGGGGGGACGGGGGGTGGGGGGGAGCAGGTCACTCCACTCTTCCCTCTGGGCCTCCGAGAATGGAAAAAGGACCAGCCAGGTCCCGTGGGCCCACGATGACATTTTGGAGGCTGGTCCGCGGGGAAAGGACGCAGGTTAGGGACTCGGGAGACCACCACTGACTGGGATTCTCGCTGTCTTTCTCTCTCCGCAGGTCAGGGCAACCACAGGGAGAGCAGCCCTTTCCTGTGCCCCTCGGAAGCGGCCAGAGGAAGTGACTACTATGACCGGAACCTGGCCCTGTTTGAGGTAGCCGCAGAGCCAGTCTGGGCCCCAGACGGGCAGGCAGGTTGACAGGCAGTGGCCTGTCAGGACCCACCCTTAGCTTAGCCGGCAGGCCGGCCGGAAGGCAGGGGGTTGCGCCTCCTCCCGTCTCCCCTTGTTGGCCTCGCCGGCTTGCCAGCCAGACTGCTTTTAGAGGCCCGTTGAACCTCAACTGCTTACCCAGAGACCGCTCACCAACCATGCCTCCCCTAGTGCCCGTCACCCCTGCCGTCTCTGCATGCCTCAGCACATGGTTTTCTTTCTCCCTCGGGACCCCGACAGCTTCTCCCAGGTTCCAGGCCCTGCCTTCCGTGGGCCCCTTTGTCCTTCCTGTTGCTCCTAGCCCTGCTTCCCCACCCCCGACCTTATCCACGGAGGCCTGTCCCTTCCCGCTGGTTCTGCCCCCTCCTTCTCAGTGGACCCTTCTTGGGAAAGACAACCTTAATCTTGGCCCTTTTCCAACTGAAGCTCAGAGGTCAAATCTGGGCTTCAGACATGATTTCGGCCCTTGACCTCTGACCTGCACATCCAGCCACCTCTTGGGAGGTCTCCGAGGCTACTCAACCTACAGGTGCCTTAAAAGATCCGTGTCTTCGCCTCTCTCTCGTGTGGGGACAGCGGGAACTGACAGAGAAAGGACAGTATGGTTAGGAGGCAGGTCGAGGCACGTGGCTGGAGAGGCCAGAGGAGAGAGCTTGCTGAGCCTCCGCTCAGCATTACTGGTTGTAAAGGCCTTGACCCGGCCCCACCCAAGGGTGGGCTGGGGAGCCAGCATCCCACAGCAGTGCCTTGGCTGAGTTTCTTACAGGGACTGGGGGGTGAGACCATCCAGGGAGAGAGGGATTTGGGCAGACCCCCTTTGGACTTCATCAGTCACCTCGGGGTGACTGGGGTGGGCCTTTCTGAGGGGCATGCTACATGCAGAGGCACGCCTGGTGGCCCAGGCATCGCCAAGAGGCAGCCGGCAGAGCGGGCTGGCAGGTCCCAAGGATGAAGCGTGCCAGCCACGCCTGGCCCTGCCCTGCCCACGCTCCCCTGGGGCAGATAGTTTTCACAAACAGGTTACCAGTGATTACAGCCAAGCTGAGGCCTGCAAAGCAGCCTTTGAGCGCCGCGTGCTGGGGTGTGGCCCCTGCAGCGGCTAGGACTCCTGGTGTGGGCTTCCCCAGGCAAGAGCTGGGATCAGGCCCAGACCTGCCTCGGGGCTTGGCACACCTGGGTCGCCTGGCACAGAGCTGGCCTGCCACCAACCAGCCCTGCGGTTCTGTTTACAGGAAGAGCTGGACATCCGGCCCAAGGTGTCATCTCTCCTGGGCAAGCTCGTCAGCTATACCAACCTCACGCAGGGCGCCAAGGAGCATGAGGAGGCCGAGAGCGGGGAGGGCGCCCATCGGAGAGCGGCCAAGGTGAGCTGCCCCAGGGACGGCAGTGGGTGCCTGCTGGTGTGCTAAGCATGGAGGGTGCACTCCCACCTCCGAGGTTCAAGCACGGGCCGAGGAAGCGCTCCTGGGATCAGGAAACCAGGGCGGCCCTCGGCACTGATAGTGGCATTGGCAGCTGCCCTTGGCTCTGCCACTCTGTGTGCCAGGCCAGGCTCCGCCGTGGGGCCCTGGGCCATCGTCACAGGCACGCCCACGCGGCAGGTGGTCTTTACCCCCAGTTTACAGGTGGGGAAACTGAGGGCTGGAGAGGTTAAGAGCTCGCCGGGGGTGACTGGTTTTATGCGTTCCTTCGGGATGGATATGGAGCCTGGTGGCACAGAGCATTCGACGCTGCGTGGACCCAGGGTGGCCCTGGCAGAGTCCTTCGACGGCCTGTGTTTGTGTGTGTGTGCGTCCGTGTGCGTGTGACAGGAACGTGACCTGGTTCCTGGTCCCTGGGATCCATCCAGGCTGCGGGCCCTGCAGCCTTCCTCTTTCTTTGGAAAGACTGGCGTGGTGACGTAACTCCGCTCCTCGGGGTGACAGGGCTCAGCGTCCCTGACAGCTGGAGGATGTTTCCCGGGGTGTTTGGTTGGAAGGACAGAGGCCCTGCTGACATTTGGGAAGCACTCGCCACGGTGCCCTTGTCGAGAGTCAGGACGGGGGTCTCTGGGCAGAGACCAGGCCCCCCGCTGCAGCTCCGCTCCTGAGATTCGGGGCCTATCGGGCAGGCTGAGGAGGGAAGCGGAAGTGTAGCCTGACCCAGGCTTTGTAGAGCGGGCAGCCAGGGCCTGGCCCTGGTGGTCCACGGACCCTCACCCCATCTGGCTGCTTGGGTTTTTGGTGCCACATTCCAGGAGAGTGCTCTCTGTTTCATCCAGCCCTACCGTAGGGGGACCCCCTCCCTCCGAGTCCCGCAAAGCCACTGCTTATGCCTCTGGTTTCCTGAGTCTTGCTCACAGTCAGTGGCAGGACTTTGAGGTGAGTTCTGGAGGCCGGTGGCTGCCAGTGCAGAGTTCAGTAGGAGAGATAGGAGGAAGCCTGGGCTAGGTGGAGGGCCGGGGTCCCTGGCCTCATGGGGATCCCTGAGGATGCTGGGAATCAGCTCTCCGGGGCTGCTATTGAACCAATTCTGGCTCCTGGCGACCCTGTGGGTTTCCGGAATGGCAACTCCTCCCGAATGGAAAGCCTCGTCCTTCTCCCTCGGGCATCTGGTAGTTTCACACCACTGACCTCGCTATTCGCAGCCCAATGAGGATCCCCCTCCACCCCAGGGCTCCCAGGGGGAGGCTGGGAAGAGGGGGCTTTTCTGTGGCAGAAGCAGAGGCCTGAATGAGGCCACCAGGCATCCGTAGGAAGCTGGGGTATGGGCTCCAGAGCCGTGGCCTCACCCCCGAGGGTCTGGGCAGGGCTTCAGAGAGAGACGGCTGGGAGCAGGAAGGGCGGGTCTCCACCCAGACCATGCTGAGCCCCAAAGTCGCTGTGGCCTGGAGCCGCCCAGCTGACCTTCTGAATCGGCCCGTGGTTATTTGGGGAGGCAGAAGCCATTTCCGGCCTGGCCTTTTTCCCACACGGCCCTTTCCAGAAGTGACTCAGCCTGGGCTGGGGTGGAGCTGGGGTCCCTTGCCACCACTAGATGGGCTCAGCCCAAGTCCAGATGAGATAGGCTTGTCCCTCATACTGTGCCAGACAGCTGGGGGGCTCCGCTGAAGTCCCGCCCCAGGCCTGGACTCTTCGCATGAGTGCCTGTAAGGACATAGTTCTCGCCGAGCTCTGTTGGGACCCCTTGTGGAAGCTGTTAGACTCCTGGGCTGCGGCATGGGTGCTCAGGGGGGCCGGGACTTCCCGGTGGCATTCCTGCCCCTGTGCCCAGTGGCTGCCCAGGCCCGCTGGCTGACTTCTGCCCTGCCCTGTGTGTGGCTTCTTGGGGGCTGTGATCCGCAGGGTCAGCAGTTCAAAACCACCAGCAGCTTTAGGGGAGGACGTCTGGGCTTTCTACTCCCGTCGACAGTTAGTCCCGGAGACGGACGCACAGCGGGGCTGCCATGAGTCAGCACTGACTCCTTGGCAGTGAGTTTGGTCTTTTTTGGGTTGGTGCTCAGCTTCGGGGAAATCCCGCCTGGCTCACACTCGACCCCTTTCTCACCTGCTCCGAAGGCTGTCCTGCACTCTGCGGCAGGCTTTCCCCAACAAGGAGTCTGCTGGCCAGGGCAGGAGCGGGGACAAGCCATGTCCAGGAGGCTAGGGAGCCCACGTTATTTGGGGAGGCAGGGGGTTCAGCTGCGCTAAGCTGAGAGGTGATGGGCTCGGACTGGGGGTCGAGCCCCGGAGCCAGGACCGCACACTAGGCTACAGGATGAAGTAAGAGGCTTGCAGACAGCATAAGATATGAGAAGAAGAAGAATGTATCATCAGGGTGTCACCAGGGTGGGAGGGAGGAAAACAGAGGAGCTGATGCCAAGGGCTCAGGCAGAAAGGAAACGTTTGGAAAGGTTGATGACAACATATGTACAAGTGTGCTTGATAAC